TTTGCGTCAGTTGTTGGAGCACCGTCACATATATTGGCGGCCCACCGTTGTCGTGTTCCTCGATATCAAAGGTGCATTCGATTCGGTGGATAGACATGCACTTTGGGACTGTCTACTCAGGAAAGGTGTACCTGAGAAATATGTGAACATTATCCGAGCATTATATGCGCATAGCTCGGGCAGAGTGAGGGCTTACGGCAAGTTGTCGTCGCCCTTTAATATCTCCAGCGGTGTGAGACAAGGATGCCCGCTGTCACCTTTCCTCTTCAACTTCGCTGTTGACGAAGTCATGGAAATCGCGTTTACAGGACACGACTTAGAAGGTGTGGAGCTACTCCCAGGAGAACGACTTCTTGATTTAGAGTATGCTGATGATATTGCCCTGATCTGTGACAGCTCACAAACGTGCCAAGCGGCACTGGACAGATTAGCACTAGCTGTCCGTCACTTCGGGCTTTGCTTCGCACCCTCGAAGTGCAAAGCGTTTCTCCAAGATTGGTCTGGACCGCCTCCTACGCTCACCCTTGGTGGGGATCAGCTAGAAGTCGTTCAAAAATTCAACTACCTGGGAAGTTGTATCAGCGCCCGTGGGATTGAAGATGAAATCACGAATCGTATAGCAAAAGCTCGGGGCGCTTTTGCTAACCTTCGCCACTTATGGCGCCGGCGCGACATTACTCTTACCCTGAAGGGTAGAGTGTACAATGCAGCAGTACGTTCGACCCTACTGTACGGTTGTGAAACCTGGCCGCTTAAAGCAGCGGACCTGAAGAGGCTAGTTACGTTCGACCACCGGTGCCTTCGTAATTTAGCTCACATCTGGTGGGAACACCACGTGAGCAACGAGCGTGTTCGACGCCTTGTTTATGGCATAGGAAAAGGAACTGAACCGCTCAGCACCGTTATTTCACGCATCAGGCTCCGATGGCTCGGCCACGTGTTACGCATGCCAGCCCACCGACTTCCGCGACGTGTGTTGTTTGCGCGCCGGGGGTGTGGATGGAAGAAGAGGAGGGGTGGCCAAGCGATGACTTGGTCTAGAGGAATGAAGGCCCTCACTTCTGAGCTGGCCTCGGTTGGAGCGTCTCGGCTCCCTGGTTGGGGTCCGAAAGACCATGAACACGTTTGGTTGGACACACGTGCTGATATGGCTAGGAGCCGACCTCAGTGGCGTTCGTGCTGTGAGTTTCTTTGTCCCACCCCATCCCTCTTAGCCTCCCCCTCCAACCACGATCTCATTATTTAGCTTTATATGATCTTGCATAATATTTTTTTTCTTTTTGGGTGCACAGCAGCCGGCTGGTAGCTTACCAGAACGATGCCCATCCGTTACCGGTAGCTCAGCCAGCTTGCACCAGTTGTTTTTTTCTCTCTTTTTTCCTCTTTGTATTGCGGCACAGTAGCTGAGGTGTTCCCCACCTCTAGCTAACGTGTATGATGATGATGATGATGATGACCTCATTAAATTCACCGCGAAACGACTAACTGCCCCAATGAAAAAGGCATACAATGTAACGGAGCTACGCATGCTTATGTCCACTACTTAAGTGCTCATTGAAGAGACCGTTGTCAAAGCATTGCATGTCCCATTGTCTATACAAGTTCATATGTAGCTGCGAGGACAGCTATATTTGGCGCACTGATCGAAATCTACGTGTTCAGATCAACGAACACATTCAGAAGTGGCTCCGCAAACGGGCAGAACTTGCAATGGGTTCACCGCGCGAATCGAGTAGCAAGGCTGCCTCAGCAGTTACGAGACATTTGCTGTACACTGGTCACCAGATAAACCCGGATTAATCATACGCGGCCAAAGGCCTCACATTCTCAAGCTTTTCGAGACCATTGTTATCGATCGACAGCGCCCAACGCTCTGTGTTCAAAAACAGCTGACTGTGACGCTAAGCCTTCCGTGGTAGAGACTAACGCACAGTCGTAATTCAGTTGACCAACTATTATGTGTGATCTTAATTTGTTTTCTTTGCTATAGCATTTAAGTGGCCGATGAGAACGCACGAAATGACAGTCATCCGACAACATTCCTCTTCTGATATTCTTATTTGAAATTATAAAGGGAAATTCATGTTTCAAAGAAAAGATATCTTTGTGTTGCTGCATATAAAATCCCCTGTGGTGTTGGCGACCATTCCCGATATTTCATATCGGCAAAGTGTTTGTCAACTTTTTGTATTCCGACGCCAATTTTGCTTCGACTACGTGCGGCAGCAATTTGTTCCCTATATTCACCACTCCAACTGCTTCACCTGTTCCTGTGCAGCAGAGTACGTTGGTCGCGTACGACAAGGCGCTTATCCGATAGGATGAATGAATACTATTTGGCCTTACACTGACATGGAGGTCGTACGGTTACCCACTCTATCATCGCTGCACATCTTGATGACACGGTTCATGCCACCAAGTTGGCTGACTCGTTCAAGATTATCTGTCAAGCCCTAGCAAATCGGTCAAACTACATCCGTATGCGAGTACTAGACACTGCAGAAGCCATCGCATTTCAATTGTACGAACCACTGTTGTGCACGCATGAATGGTTCACTCAGGCGTCGAGTGTACCCTGGCCTGAACGGATCGCAATTGACTCGTGCGAGCATGTGCAGGGTACGGCGGTGACCTGACCGACGGTGTTTGTCATTGTGTGCTAGAACCAAGTTGCTGCTTGATGACCCGATTTCCATCAAATTGTAGAAGCCTGTTGTTGAATTATGGAAAACAATTGTTCACTTATAAAGATTTTGGACCAATCACTAGATTTTCAGCTCAGTGAAATTTGTCCTGCTTTCGGTTGTCAACCTGCTTAAGCTACCGCTCAATTTTCTTCCGATGATATTTGACTTTTGTCGCTTTTGAATTTGCCAGCTGTTCCGATTCGTCGCTTAAAATTAGGCCGCTCCATTCACATAGGGGTGACCGCGGTTAACTTGTACCTCATGACGGTCTACAGCCGTTACCCATGACCCAGGGGCATATGTAGCTGGTAAGTGCTGCAAGCCACTGTGGTAGAGGTCGCGGGTTTGGCCCCTGACGAAGCCGAAGGATGAAACTTGCCGGCAAGTTTCAACAGGACGAAACGGCCGTCTAGTGTTTTCCCAGAGGTGTGTTAATCTGTCTGCTAAATAGACTACTGCGAAGAGTCTTCAGTTAACGCTATCAAAAATTCTCCCATTCACGAGTATTCATAGTGTTCGCTCCGGCACCTAGCTGCTACGCAATACATCGCTGCTTTTTTCGGAAGCCGTGGCCCTAAAGACTTGTGCCATGTTTTACATCGTTCTTAAGAGTTAATAGCCACTCCACCAGTCAGCCAGTCCACCGCCAATCCCCGAGGCTCATCGGCATATGCTGCTGGCTGGTTGCGCATCCACTAGCGGTCATGAGTTTGGATCCTGATGGCGCTGAGGGATGTAGTTTGCTGACAAGTCTTCATGGGACGAAACGGCCGTCTGGTGCTTTTCCACATGTGTGACAGTTTATCTAACACAGATGCTACTGCAAAGAACCCTCAATTAGTAAACAACTTGTTACCAGTGATAGAACCCTCATTTTTCTGCTTTAGGTGCCCTTGTCTTTTGACAATCCATGTATTGCTGTCCCTTTAAGCAGTATTCTCGTTACCATTGTCACTGAAATACCTATTTGACCCGATTGGCGTCAATCTATTCGTTATCACAAATCCAGTATCTCTTCTTGGGAACTGTACTGTGGCTGTGTGCTAATTTTTTAGGGCGCACCAATCCAATGATCTTGTAAACATGAGTCAATCTAGCTCGAAGGAACGGTGACATTAACAAGCACCTAGACCACATCAAAATCGCATTATCCAGTGTCCAAGTCAAGCTGTCTGTTGCTGAGGTGTGCATTATGTCATATTATTTTCCTTGCCATGAGCAGTTCACCAGTACTCTAGAAACGAGGCCCTCTCCTCGGGTTAGAAGGTCGGCACCTGTGCGCATGCGGACTACGGACTCATTCGCCTTGCCGGATAACCATTTCACCTCTACTTGTTTACACACATCTGGTTTCTTGTAAGTCTCTGTTTTCATTGCGGTTACGTGGTGATTATTGATTGGTTAGTCATCGCCTCCACGGACTCCTTCATTTTGACTCTGCGCTGAAAAGGAAGCCGAGACGTTGTAAAGCTGCATTTAACCGGGGATTGGAAGGGTTCCTGTTGGTACACGTTTCATCGTGCTCGTTTTCCTCCACCGTTTACCGAAATCGACTAGACTTCCCGTTACTGCTCTCTACTTTGGTCCCATTGTTCGTATTACTTTTACTTACTCATTCCTCGCCTCACCTCACTCCCAAACGCAGCTTCACTCTGTTGTAGCTCAACGAGAAAATAGCCGTTTTGCTTAACAGATCCACGTGCTCTTCGAGAAAGGCCTTTGGCATCCCTAACGCACATGAATTTTGACAAAAATCGGTCACTGTGCCTCCTTGACCTGGCCGATGTACCAGTTAGAAGACCTCAGAAATGCGCCCGCACATCGTACTAACGCTTCGCTGCCATCCTACCGTCAATTGTTACTTGCGGGCTGGGTATATCGCCAGGTCGTCCGCACCTACGCGGATTCATGCTCCAGATAACAGAGCAGGCGCATAATCCTTTCGGTCACCGGTTAACGATCATTGTGATGATACTGACTCTGTCCTGTTGCCCACTGCTGCAAGCGGTTATTTTCCGTGACACTACTTTCCTGTTTCATACGCCTTTACCGACGAGTCAAGCAGCTTAGTTGACCTGTGTTCTCATTTCCTTAGCAGTTTTTCACCCTTCGCTTTACTGGAGCTTTGACATCGCCGTAATCTTTCGAAACCTCAGATGCCCACTGTTGCACAACTCGTAGGAATAGCGGTTTTTCCAGCCACCTGTTGTACTGTTTGAAACGACGACTGATAGGACACCGCTTTAATTATCAAAGCGCAAATCATTGTTTAATGTGTAACCGATATCATTGTCGCTTTCATCTTCCTTCCAGATCAACTATTTGCCCAGTTCGATCGATTCGATTAGCACCCATCTCGACCCCATCCGCCTGAGCATTTTCTCCCATCGCTTCATGAGCATCGCGGAACAAATGGGCAAGTAAGTATGCACATTTTCTCGTGCGCCATGCGTCACATTTACTTGCGGTTATTAACTCTGCTCCTATCTATTTACGAGATGCGCTTACACAACATTCATCAGTAACCGAAGTCTTTAAGGTCAGTTGGCGCGTATCCAGATTCCACTAATGCACTGGATCCATCAGAACCGATAATCATAGCTCTTAGTGTTTACACCTGTCTTCTCTCCGAGTAAACTGCACACTCGTACCCTTAAGGATCATAAGCCTACCTTTTAATGCGAGGGCGCGGGTTCGAGTCTACCTTGGGGACCGGGTGACCTTCACAGTATCCTTAGCCCACGTGCGAGTGATGGTGATTGCGCGGCAGCGAAGCGCCGTTACTGCATACCGGTGTACTGCTGATACCTTCCACACATTAATTATATCTGGGCAGTTTCCGGCCCCGCTTTTCCAACGAACTCCTGTTGAAGCGAACGGATTTCCCACTTTCTACATTTACTTCTCGGTTCCTTTGCTAGAGTCCTCCAGCAAACTGCTATATCGACCAATATCAAAGAGCGTCTGGATTTTTCCTGCGCCTTATTCGCTCAAGACGGAGGATTAGTAGCGAATGCACCTCACATTCCCGTGCACTTGGGTGCTATGCAACATGCGGTACAGTATCAGGTACGGACGTCATTCACTGGTTTCTCTGTTTCGCCCAACTAGTTTGTCGTATCGCTTACCAGCGGTCGTAGAGTTACACATATTCCTTGCCGAATTGTCTGATTGGAGTCCTCTTGAGATTATTATGCATGTTGACATTACTGCCTTAACTCAGTGGGGCGTTACTTCGTTCTAATTTACTCTTATACCTCTACTCTGCTTTTCATGCCTTCCTTTATACCAAATTCATAGCTCTCGTCCCATCAACCTTGTCGATTTTTCTATTTCAGATCGATGCAACTGGCAATCAATTTTCTCCGGGCGAAGTATTGCTGAGTAATCATCCCTGTGCTGGAGGAAGCCACCTGCCCGATTTAACAGTTATCACTCCGGTACGTCTATGCTTTGTTGATGCACTTGCGAAGTAACCACATAACACTACTCAGTTATCTTCAGGTTCGCCACTGAAGACTTGACTGGGTTTTGTTAATACATCTCGTTTTCCATGCTGTCCTCCACGTCATCCGCCTTGTGCTTGGCTCAAGACTTTACAGTACACGACTCGCAGTTGGCATCATTGGCGCTTCTGCTGTCGTCTCCTAGCCGGGATACCTGTTTAAGTTGAGTTTAATGCTGAGTCCTCGGTCGGGTAATGAATGGTTATGATGTGGGACATCAAAAGTTACATAGAGGCTGTCTCGCCGATGCCGCCTTGTCTTTGCACGATAAGCAGGTGTTTGTGGCCGTTTGTTGGTGTCAAGTTTAGGCGCATTGACCTCGAGTGTTTGCTTGGGGCATCCAGGTTATGCATTGATCCTATTTCTTCTTATTTATTATTCTTCCCTACGTCTTTGTTGTCGCATGGCGATGAAGTGTCAGCTGCCATCGTTGTCCTTACCATGCACAGCGAGTGCTTGATGTGAAGTGAGTGATTAGAAGGTTGAGGCGATCAGAACTTTGCAAGTATATATTGTCTACACCACTGTACCTTTCCTCTGTCTCATTCCATCTTTCATGTCATGTCTTTTTCTCCCTATTATACCCGTGGATCTAGTATTCTCCATGCATTTCTCTCTCAGTCCATCATCTATATCCATGTGTTGACACATGGGAGAGTTTCAAGGTGTGTATCCCATTAAAGGGGCTATACTGTGCGTATCAAACTTCTCGGTCATTTTGTTGCTTAGAGTGCATGATGAGTACTGATAACATGTCTATGCAAGGCGGTTGAATTATTTTTTTCTGCGGATACAGTATGGCCTCGTGTGCACACTTGTTGGCGAATTTCTCACTAAGTATTCTGGACTGTATTCTAATTTCCGCGTGGCGACTAGAGCTTGTGGGATCACTGAGATTTACTCTGGCCTCACAAAGAATGTGATGTAATCGAGACGAGTATTACGACATGATACTTGAGACCTTTCAGGTGAGCAACATTTAGTGTTGATGGATGGTTGGTAGTTGGTTCACTAACTGACTTTCTTTGCACCGCTTATACTGCAACCGACATGGCACGTGTGCTACTCACCCACCCCATTGTGAACATGTACTGCCGCAAGCGTAATGTCCAGTCTCTGGTTTTCCCAAATCTAGGCCTGCTCGATGCTAATGTTGCCAAGGTATCCACGCATCGGGTCACACCGGAAAACTACTAATCGTTATTGGAGGAGGCGGAGCGCCAGTGTTTGTGAGCGTATTACTCTCGAGGTTCGATCCCACAATGAAACTATCCAGCTTCGCTTCTGCTTGTCTGTTACACCTGATCCTTCATTGTCACAACGCTGTTGATGCCAAAACTTGTGGCTTAGCTCCTAACCAAGCTCTATCTACCCTCAGACATACTTCTATGGGTTTACCTCGGTTATGAAGTATGCTGGTGCAACTGTGGATGATGCGGCGCAATCTGCCCATAGTCCCTCAGCATTCGTCTCAGGTGTTTTGTAGCTGCCCCCTAGTAACGGTAACACTTGCATCTCCGAAGGTGTGTTTTCACGGACACAACTGATACCAACCGTGGCTGTGCAACCATCCGATGCACTTTGTTGTAGTGCACTTGTATATGAGGTATAAAAGCACATTTTCCTTGATTCGAATGACGAGGCACCGTCAGATTGCAAGTGCGTCTCCTTGTGTTCGATCTTATTGGACTGTGATGCACCGTTGTCTCATACGACAATCGGTGATTATGGTCATCTGTGTCTCAATGTTGAAAGCGTTCGCAGGTGTACTGGACAGCCGAACATTATTGGTCTGGTTATTTACCAAATTTGTTGATGAGTCGAAGCAGGCTCGGATATTTCAATGACCCCAGACTAGGTCCGACATGGAGTAAAGACGATGTAATGGAACCAGGCTGTTGCTGCTTCTGATTGTCTCTTGCGTCGTTTCTGAACTGGCAGGCAGCTACCGTGATTAATCTCACCGTGCTCGTTGGCTTAAATTGTCGTTGGTCTCCACCTTGGCGCTTAACCATATCGCGAACTTTTGAAGGGGATACATGCTTTTTGAGTATCACATAACGGACAGATGTAAGGTATGCAGTATGACACCATTTCGTATTATCCGAGCACTTGCAAACTAAAAACAAACAGGTCATGTGAGAGGGAAAAACGATCGTTTCGAACTGGGTCAGAAAAGAAAGTACAGCGATACAAATCGAGGGGTGACTGAGTTGTGGCAAAGTTCATATGCCCCATCGAGGCTTTAGGGATCCTGTCAGTTGCTTCTGTACATAAAGAGTAAGACGAAGCCGATTAAGTGTCACGGTCTCGGCAAATTTCAGTGCCCTTGCGTTTTCGTTTCGGTAGACAAAGTAGACGTTAAAGTCAGCTTCATGATCTTTACCGATTAGGCGTCTATCGATGGATCACGGCCTGTAGCCTATAGGTAACGAACCTGTCTCTTAGTCTCCCGGCGCGGGTTCGAGCCTGTGTACGCTCAGGACGACCCTCGCAGTATCCTTAGCCCACGTGCAACCGGTGGTAGTGTTGCGGCAGCGAAGCGTCTGTACTGCATCTCGGCGTACTACTGATGCCTTTCTTTTTGATGATGAATGACGCCTACAGTTTATCTTCTACTGCACAAGATAACACTTAGTGGTACTATAGGTGCCAGTGAGAGCTGCAAATTTGCTCCGTCCGTGGCATAGATAAAGTGTCATCAATTGTGGATGTATGCCAGTGGGCTCTTTCATCAGGTGGCTATTTAGGCGATCTGATAGTGCAAATCTACGGTGCTGTACCAGTAGAATGTGCGGCCAGCAACATCTTCGTGCAGCTTGTGTTTCTTAGCCAACCAAGTCTCACTGAGTGTGACAATATCAATGCCATGGTCACCGGTGCAGTGCGTCAGTCGGGGCGCTCATTCTTGCTACGGTACAGTAGTGTACGCACGTCCTAGCATCTGATTTTGTGCACTTTGTGCGGGTGTCCCATTTCGCCGGGCAATCGCTGGGGTAAGTGGGGGCAGTTGGATGTGTCAGGTGAAATGGGGGCTGGGAGAGGAGAATGTGGATAAGGGGAAGAAGAAGGAAGGGAGGCACTGGTTGTGGCGTTGTTTTTTGCTTATCTACCTCGCTGAATGCAACAAATAAGACTACCCTTATTCCCGCTGCGCGACAGTCGACGCAGCAGCAAGTTATTAGTGTTGTCTAGAAAGATACACCACCGAAGTGCTCTATTTCTCTTTTCGATAGTTGCGTATCAGCGGCAATCCGCACTGCGGTCTCAGTAGACTACCGCAAGGTTTGAAGCCTGGTACTGAGGTGTTGGACATTGATCATAGCGGTCCCTACTCTAACCACCTGGTGGGTCTTCAATATCATTATTTTAAAACTCCATACGAGAGCACCTCTTGAGCAACTTTACCCTGGCGAATCACATTGATCGTCGGAACTTCGATGACAGCTCATCGTAGACCCTGGCACAGTCTAGGGTGTTCGAGTACGTGACACGTGAGGTGTTCACATACTTTAGCAAACGCATTTCCAGGCAAGTCAATCGAGCAGAATGAAGCGCTGGACTTCCTCGAGCCGACTCTTGAGATTAAAATACTACCTGTCGATAGTCTGCGCCTTCCCGTAGACTAACGCTAGCGAGCTTGTCTTGTAATCTGAGGGCGCGGGTTCGAGCCTGCTTAGGGGCGGGGCGACCGTCTCAGTATCCTTAGCGCACGTGCAACCGGGGGTGGTTGCGTGGCAGTGCGGCGTCGGTACTGCGTACCGGCGTACTACTGATGCCTTTCTTTCTTTTTCTCTATAGCCTGCACTGCGTATTTCGTTTGTCTAGTACTTGGTTTACGCAACCCCACTTTCTGCTCTCTTCTCTGAGAATCCATATCGACGATAAAATAGGGGACTACTGTGGATGATGTGATGGCAGCCTGTAGCTCGAGCGAAATAGATGTGCGGCCAACTGCCTGCGCAAATTACCACTGCTTGCACAGACTGGGTGGACAGTGAAGAATTGGTTTGCATTCTTGGTCAAGCACGGTGTTGATGCTAGACAAAGTCAAGCTAACTGCCTGCACGAGACACCCTGAGCAGGCGGGGTACAGTACGATGGTGGCTGATCGATCGATCGCGCGGTACGGATGGAGCCAGTAGGTGGTAAGTCAATCAGCGCCGCCTGCGCAAGCTCTGACCACCTTTGCACCGACCGAATGAACACCTTTGTTCCCGTCCGTATACAAGTGGCCAAAACAGCATCGAAAGAACGACGTATGCAATCCAGTGAACTCAGGCAAATAGCTAGCTAAAATCATCTGGTAAAAGTTTGGTAGAATTTGAATTTAAATTTTTGTGTGATTTTATATGGCCCTTCGTTCTTTACTAACGGATTTTTGCATTGCTGCCCAATGTTCGTTTTTATTCTTGGTATTTATTCTCAGTAGATGTCGTTAACGGTTTGACTACCAACGTCAAGTCCCTATTGCTGTGATGGGCTGTGATAGGCTTATTGTCATTATACGTGTTTCAGTTGCCTAGGCCAATCTGTTACCTCCATACCTATTCGAATAGGAGGGCTAGTTCTGCATATGACCTTCCCGTCATTCTTGAATAGCGTGGTCGCAAGAGAATGCTGATGGCAGCGGTGAAACGGTTGTGGGCTGTGGCAAAAGTTTCGAACCACACTTTCAGTTAGGGTATTTACTTCAACTGGCCATCTTTTTGTAAAAATAAGGCCACAATAAACTATTATTGCTATGTTACTTCTTGGGCGAATGATGCACATATTCAATCGGTTTCGACTAAATTTCTCATACGTGGACTCGAGTGTACTGTCACCAAGCACCTGGATAAACAGACAGGTACATTCTGTCTTCTACTCTTCATCATGCCCGTTGCATAATCCTCCGTAGCCTAGAGTTTGCAAAGTTCTCTAAAGGCTTGCGA